TTTCTAAAAATATGCTATTCGGTCCAAAATATCTTATTGCAGCATGACTGCAATGTTTTTGCGGAAATACTATATTTTTTATATAATATTACCATTTGTCATTTTGCAGCAATTTTGAATGTATCAACGTGCCTCATGTATCAACTACTACCAACCCGGTCTCCCCTAAATCGGAATAAACCTACACTGAAGCAAAAATCGAACGAACTTATTTGCCAATCCAATACTTCTACTGACAATGAGCATAAAATCATAAAGAAATATCTTATTCCTCTCTACCATGTTCGCGAGGAAAATGTGTAAATAAAAAACTGTAAACTTTTTTGTAGAAATTAGCGCTTTGTAATGTTATTTCAATGTTTCTTTCTGTATGATTTTTTGTTCGTTCCATCAACGCAGTCGTAAATTCTTGTATCAATTGTAATGCATTTAGAACTAAAACATTTATTCGATTATTTACAAACTTCAATTCTTATTGTCAGAATAAAGTGTAATCAAGGAATTCATTCTAGATAGGCTTATATCGTCGAAATGAGGATATATGTATGATGGCAATAAAAGATTAAAAGAAATTTAAGTTAAGAAATTGAGAATGTCGTTAACATTTAATTTATCAAAATCTTCTCTACAAATAGCTTTGAAACGGTGTAATCGCAATTTGATAAGACTTCACGATTTCAAAAATAATTTCCGAATTTCTATGATAAGTCTTAATACTTAAAAAAATGATTCATTAGTGTATAATTATTTATCATATTATTTCTTAATTTCAAAATACATTCACTACAAATTAAAGATGTGTAAAAAGTACTTCAACACATTTAAATGTGTAAATTTTTACGAATGAGATCATTTTTACACACTTGAAATTGAAATATTCATTTCTTGGTATGTTAAACTGTACCGTATTGTTGAATATTTCAATCAATGTTTTATTCCAAATAAAAGTCTTTGAAAATTTTAATTATGGATTGATTGAATCTCGTAATGTTTTTATTTAACAGAAATAGCCGTATTCGAAGCAATGTGTGGTACGGAACGTTGTCATAATGCAGGATATAAAACCATTTATTTTTCTCAGGTCTTTTTCTACGCACATTCTTCATTTCATAAACGCTCTAATAACTAGTTTATTGTAAATGTTTTAAATTAATTCGAGACACGTCTCGAGGCAGCCACGACAGCGCAAAGATATTTATGAAAGAAGACTTCCAGTACTGCTTTAATTAGCAAATGACAAGAACGATAAGATAAGTGTACCAGAAGCAAGAGGAAATATTTTCAAGAAAACTATTGTAACTTGTCTTTTAATGTAACAGATTTCTTTTTATTTCAACATTCACCGTATTTTTTGATCACACCTCATATATGTATAAAGTGATAATTTTATGAAAATTATTATTTATAGTAATTAATCATTGTACTTTAGCAATTATGCAAACTCATGTAACATTCTGGCAAAGTATATTAAAAATACAAGGAAATAGTATAAAAGTGTACTCATAATACTAATAAAAATCTGAAAAAATTATTTAGTTGTTTAATTTGTGAAAACTAAAAAACAACAATTTTACATTTAGATCTCCAGTAATCTTTTTAAATTTATCTGACACAAAATACATAACAATTTTTTATTACAATGACTTTCCTCTGGATTTTATTTTTAACACAATTAATGCGCGCCTCAAATCGTTATGTAATCAAAAAACCGGTAGGCAAAATATCTTAACGAACACGGTAGACGACAATATAAAACTATCATGATTCGTAGTTCCGTACGTTCCTTCTGTGTTGGATAAGTTCAAAGAGATCTAAATGTAAAATTGTCGTTTTTTTAGTCTACGCAAATTAAACAACATTATAAAAGCACAGAAGAATACTCTCCCGATCACATCAAATAAAAATGTGATATATAAAATAACATGTAAAGATTGTGATGCGTCCTATGACGAACAAACCCGCAGACAATTGATTACCATCAAAATCTCAGAATATAAAAAGGAACACACAAAATCTTTCTGTCATTTCAGAACATAGAATGAATCACAATCACCAGATGGATTGGGAAGATGGATTGTCAAAATAATGGACAAGGAGATGTATTATAGCAAGCGTTTAACTTCAGAGGTGCTGCATATTCAAATGCAAAAAAATAGTCTGAATCTACAGTCAGATACGGAATTTTTATACATTACGTTTATTCATCGGTACTCAACTTGTTATAAACAGAATTCCTATTGTGCTAAAGAGCAACGAATATCTAGTTATTTATGTCTTTGATTTTGACAAATAATGCTTGACCTACGACAACCTAAATCTTTGTATTCTATTTAGCGTTCCGTTATCATTTTACTTTTGACTCTGTTACATGGTTGACATGTCGCTTTCCGTTCAACTGACTTGCAAAGTGCGATTGATTTCTTATATTTAATTATTAAGTCTTACGTTTCTGAACTTTAGATAAGTTGTCCTTTATCGTCTCTTTAATCTATTTTAGAAGTGCTCTCACAACTGGTGTTGTGTCGTTTTTATACAGCCTGACAAATGTTTCGACAAGTTGTTATTACTGGAATTATCAACCAAGCATCAACGATACAGCATTATATTGAGGGCAAGTCACTACTTTAAGAAATTACGCTCACTCATTATCCCGAAAGCGTCAAGATCAATTTTTCCATTAATTGCTGAGGATGATTTAAAATTGAATCGAAACGTCCATGGATCAACAAGTATTTAATTAAACAATTTATAACACTACCAAATTGTTTTGCGCTTTACTTACCGCGCTATAACTCTCATTAGCCTTATTGTTTCTTTCTTTTTTTATTATTTGACAATTTCGGGAGTTCACTAATTTTATTTTAAAATTAGGAAATTTCTTTCAAGTTCTAATGAAATTATAATTAAATAATGCCTTGAAGACGAATCCCCAAAATTGGATTCCTGGACAAAAAGAAAAAACAGGACGCACGTTCAAAAGTTGAACATAAGATGTCTAAGGCCTCAGTTCGATTTACGCTCACAGCACTCGTGAGCATAATTTGTTTTTCTTTAATGTTAGATAAATAAGAATGAAATAATTTCAACAGCATTGTGAGCGTGAATTAGAGTAATTAGACCGTAGCCTAAAAAAATAAAATCGCATTTAAACATCTTTCATATACAGTATAAGATGTTTTGAAGTCTGTAAGACATTTTATGATACTTTTAGTTAAGCATGTTGTCTGCGAAATAAAATGTAATTTTACAGTATAATTTTGTGTAAAAATAATTTCAGATATTTAATATAACTGTCTAAATAAAACGTTTAAAAAAATGTTTTATAGTCGTCTAATTTAAATGACACAAAAATCATAAATAGCTCCATTAGTGCCATTGCGAGCCGACACGGATCTTGATGTGTAATAATTTTTCCTGTTACAATATCAATCCACATACCAACTGCGCGCCACATATATTGTCGGTCTTAAAACACAGTTTTTACATGAGGCCAGATTTCATTGTGACGAATTAAATTGTCAAACAGTTTAATATTTTTGATGCTAGTAAGCATCTATAAGAATCCCCTTCCCTCAAATCTGTAAAGAATGTATTGCGAAAAATATCACCTCATCTTCACGCCGGGAAATTTCGCACAGAAATGTTTTATCAATCAAATTTTCGATTCTACATCTATATTTTACAACAAGCATTTTATAATTAGACATTAATTTGTCTTTTTAACCAATAATCATTTTCTCAATGGATGCGAATTCACTATATAATCCTGAATCTTTTTGATAAATTAATATAATATTTTTCTTGAATTCTAGAATTCTAAAAATTATTTATAATATATAATTTCAGAAGTAAGCTAGACGATGTTAGCAGACACAACTGTGTTCAGAATTTGGAGCGAGGAAGTAATAATCCTATAACTACGTTTCGGTGGAAGTCGCACAAGATTATTCAAGCTCATTGTCAGAGGGTAGACTGTATTTCCGCGCGAGGTAGATTTCACTTTAGTAATGTTAATCAAGAGAACAAGATTGCAATAGATAAAAAAACGGATTGGAATAAAACTATGTCCGAGGCAGAGAAGATCGTTGGATATCCGACTTCCTCTTTAAGTTTAAAATAGCTGTTAAGCGACAAGATTGCTAATGACGATGTTGCGTTGCACTTGAAGAAGTTCCTTAGCTCAAATCATCCCAAGTAAATTACTATATACATAGTAATGTTTTTTTAAGAATAAAATTTCATTTGTGCTTTTCTTTTAGGATCAGTAGGTACTTATAACGAA